GAGCTCATGGCGCGTGCTAGAAGTGGGCAGGAGTTCCTCGGGCATGCGGGTGCTGGCTTCAAGGGGCATCTAGGGTAGTTGAGTTAGGGTGGTGCCCCAACTGTGTGCGCTTGCATCGATGTGGATGACGGCGTCGAACTGGTGATTGAGGTAGAACGGGGTACCATTAAAATGGTTGAACAGTGCCAGCCAAAACTGCAGTCCCTCCACCACTGTCGGAGAAAGCTGTGCCCTGGCGTGCTAAGAGGTGGCATCAGCAATGAGTGGAAGGAGCTCGTGGCTGAAGGCATGTGCCGTGGCGCCTAACGCAAGACTCATAGAGGAGAGCATTCCAGTGGCTCGTTCGAGTGATCGGATGGAGACTTGTCATCCCTCTTGGCCTTGGGTGATGAGGGCTCAGAGTGTCGTATTAAGTTGTGCCCGGAGTTCAACTCCGACGGAGAACGTGCCATTGGTAGCGTCCACCCTAAACCCTAAATCCAGCATGATTGGTATCCTCGAATGGGTATCCAAATTGAGGGGCACTGTCCAATTTGCTCGGAGAGCGGGTCACATATGGGGAGACATGGCTTATATATTGGGGAGAGGGATATACGAGATAGGGATATGGAGGATATGGTTGTGTGGGAAAGGGATACGGGGCATAGGGATATGTGGGATAGAGATGTGTGGGGAATGGATACAAGGGACAGGGACATGGGAGATATGGATTCAAGGGGGAAGGAAAAGGGATGTGTGGGGTTGGGCTATGTGGGACAGGGATATGTGGGATAGGGATATATGGGATAGGGATATGGGGGATAGGGATATGGGATATTGGGATATGGGGGATAAGGATATGGAGGATTGGGATGTGGGGATTGGGATATAGGTGATAGGGGTACATAGGATAGGTCTATGGGGGGCAGGAATACATGGCATCGGGATATGGGGAATTGGGATACGGGGGATAGGTAAACATGGGATAAGGAAATGGAAGATACCCATACGGCATATAGGGATATCGGGGATAGGGATACCTAGGATGAGGATATGAGGGATAGGGATGCATGGAATAGGGATATGGAGGACAAGGATGTGTGGGATAGGGATACAGGGGATTGGGACATGTGGGATAGGGATATGGGGGACAGGTATATGCAGGATAGGGATATGGGGGGTTGGTATATGTGGGATAGGGATATGGGGGACAGTATGGGGGATAGGGATGTGTGGGAAAGGGATAGAATGTATAGGGATATGGGAGAAAGGATGTTTGGGATAGGGTGACGGGGGATAGGGATTTGGGGATTAGGGATATATGGGATAGGGAAATACAAGTTTGGGGTACACGGGATAGGGATACGGGGGAGGGGGATACACGAGATATGGATATGGAGGAAAGGGATGTGTAGGATTGAGAAACATGGGATTTGAATATTGGGGATCGGGATATGTTGGATAGGGATATGGGGGATAGGGATATGGCAGATAAGGATATGGAGGATTGGGATATGGGGGATAGGGATATGGGGGCTTATGATAAGGGGGATAGGGATATGGGGCATGAGGATAAAAGAGATAGGGGTATGGCGGATATGGATGTGTGGGATAGGGATATGGAGGATTGGGATCTGGGGGATATGGATACCAGGCATGGGGAAATTGGGGAAAGGGAAAGGATATGGGGTTTATGGATAGGGGGGATAGGGATAAAGGGGGATTTCGATGCATGGGATAGGTATATGGAGGATAGGGATGTGTGGGATAGGGATATGGGCGATTGGGATATGGGGGGTAGGGATATGTGGAATTGGGATTCTTGGTGTAGGGATATAGGGGAAATGGAAATATGGGATAGGGATATGGAGGATATGGATATGGAAGATAGGGATAAGGGGGATAGGGATATGGGGATATCGATGCATGGGATAGGGATATGGAGGATAGGGATGTGCGGATTGGGATTCTGGGTATAGGGATATAGGGGAAATGGAAATATGGGATAGGGATATCGAGGATAGGGATATGGGGGATATGGATATGGGAGATAGGAATATGGGGGATTGGGATGTGTGGGATATGGATTTGGAGGATACAGGGTGGGGATATGGGGGATATGGATATAGGGGATAGGGATATGGGGAAGAGGAATATGGGGATTGGGATATGGAGTACAAGGATGTGTGGAATAGGGAATCAGGGGGTTGGGACATGGGGGATAGGGTTATGGGGTATGGGGATTTTTGGCTTAGGGATACGGGGGTTAGGGATATGAAGGATATGGATGTGGGGGATAGGTGTAAGGGGGATAGGGATATGGGGAATAGGGATATGGGAGATAGGTATATGTGGGATGGGGATATAGGGGATATGGATATGGGGGATAAGGATACAGAGGACATGGATGTGTGGGATAGGGATAGTGTGGATTGGGATATGGGAGATTGGTACGTGTAGGATAGGGGATACACGGAATTTGAACATGAGGGATAGTGATATATGGATATATGGGATGGGAATATAGGGAATCGGGATACACAGGATAGGAATACAGTGGTATACAGGATTAGTTAGGGATATGGGGATAGTTATATGGGGTATAGGGATATCGGGGATAGTGATACGGGGTATACGGATACATAGGATAGGGATATGAAGGATATGGATTTGTGGGATAGGGATAAATTGGATAGGGATGTGGAAGATAGGGGATGTGTGGGATAGGGATATGGAGGACATGGATAGGGAGGATATGGATATTGAGGTTAGGGATATATGGGGGATATTGATATGTGGGATTTCGATATGGAGGAGAGGGATATAGGGGATAGGGATACATGGGATAGGTCTAGGGAGGATACGTATATGGAGGATAGGGATATGGGGGATAGGGATATTGAGGATACGGATATATGCGGGATATTGATATGGGGAATTGCGAATGGAGGATAGGGATATGGGGGATATGTATACACGGGATAGGGCTAAGGGGGATATATCTATGAAGGATAGGGATGTGGGGGATAGGGATATGATGAATAGGGATATAGAGGATAGGGATGTGTGGGATAGGGATACAGTGGATAAGGACATGGGTGATATGGATGTGTGGGATAGGGATATACAGGATAGGGATACATGGGATAGGTATACACAAGTTTAACATGACTGGCAGTGTCGCAAGGCAAGCACTGTGGAATTGTGCATCATACTGGGCGGGATTTAACTCAACAAGAGCTGCTTTCAAAACGTAGATAAGCGAATCATGTACATTTGATACCAAAAAAAATGTGTATCATACTTGGACAAGTGAAGATTTGTCGACAAAATAATCATTCTCCCCTCCCTCCCTCCCGGATTCCCTCTCTTCCCCACCTTCCCCCCCTTCCCTCGCCTTCCTTCTTTCCCTCCCTTATGTCTGCCCTCCCTCTCTGCTCACTTGCCCTCCCCCTCTCTTCCCCCCATCCCCCCTCAGGCTCATCAGAGGCATCGCTTTTGCCGCCTTCTGCCCGCCGCTGCTGCTCTCAACCAATCAAGTGAGCATTGAAAAATATTATGTTGTCGACTATAGCATGCCCTTTACTTCTAATTTTGTCTGCCGATCTACCACCTGCTATGGCAATAGCCATCTCTTCCCATTCCCTCCCACCCGCCCCTCCCCCCCCCTCCTTCTTCCCCTCCCTCTCACACACACTCCATTCATCCCCTCCATTCATCTGCCCACCCCCCCTCTCTCTCCCCCTCCTCTCTCACTCTCTCCCCCCTTCTCTCTCTCCTCCCCATTTTCTTTCTCTCACTCCCCCCCTTCTCCCTCTCTCATTCCCTTGCTCTCCGCAGCTACCAGCAATCGAACCATATGCATTCGCCCAGACCTCTTCCCTCCTGATGCATGTGGTCTCGATAACTCCAGTCCACGTGAGTACATGCACCATGAGCCATGTGAGTATAACAAGAGGGATGGCCACGAGGCGCTGATGGATTGGCTGGAGTCCCTGGATGGAGGACACATGGCAGCATGGTTCAGGCAGAATGGAGTTAATGGAAGGATTAGCTTCCCTGAACCAGATCCAACTCTCCCCAAACCAGATCCGGCCCTCCCCGAACCAGACGCAGCAGCCAATGGTAGCCTGCCCAAACTTGATTCCCCTGAGCCCAACGTACCAAATTCTGGCTTGTTGAAGCCGGGACCAGACCAGCCGAACTAACCTACCCTATGGGACCTTGGTGTGCTGAGCCTGCTTTAAAGAGTGTGCTTCTTAGAAAAATGCATTTTGTTGAACGTACTCAAAAAGTACTTGACCACGTATACAACCCAGCAGAAGCCCCACTGCCCTTTCCACTATGCATTGCCTTTGCACTAAGAGCGTGTGTTCCTACCTTCTTACCTAACGCGCCCCCTATCAGACGTGCGCAGTATTATACACTACAGATATGAAGCGATTTGGTTCAATGCAGTTCCGTTCGGTGCGACATAAGTCTGATCAGAGTTCCTAGGAACAGGGGTCTAATGGCTAATGCTTCACAATTGCAAACAAGCATACCTTCTATATTTCGTATTATCCCATCTGAATATGAGTCGACTCAAAAGCATATTTCATATTATCCCATCTGAATATGAGTCGACTCAAAAGCATATTTCATATTATCCCATCTGAATAGAACACTATTCGCCACGGCCCCAGCAATCCCACCCGCCATCTCATAAGCCACTCTCACTCCAGCTGCGACCCCCCAAGTCACCCATCCCTCCTTCATCCCATATGCCGGCTCCTCCACACCCACAATCATGGTGATTTTGGGTTTTACCCATATCACCTCCATGACCATCCGCTCCTTCCATCCAGAAACCCATGGCCACCATCACGAGGTGAACTTTCTCTACCACATGCCAGACCAGTCCCACCAACCGCCCCAAGCACTGCTGCCCCACCCGCCACTGCCAGAACCGCCCATGCCCCCCCCAACACCTCCAGCCCCGCCATCATGGCCGGGGCCATCAGGACCCCCATGGCCATGCCCGTGACCGCCTTGCCCATGCCCATGGCCTCCATCTCCAAAGCCACCTCCGTTGTTGTCACCGCCGCCAATGCCGCCACCAACGCCACCGCCGATGCCACCTCCGGTGGATGAAGTGGCGCATGAGAAGTCGAGGGTGAGCGCACCACTGCGATAAGAACACAGCGGTTGGGGTTTAGATTTGGTGAAGAGAAGAGCAAACCAGCGAAATGAGGCAGAGGAAACAAGTTGGTACACCATCAAATGCCCCATATCCAACTTTCATGTGCCAGTGGAAAGAAAAACTATTGATTCAAGAACAAGCACTATCGAGCTTGACTTACTCATTCTCTCCGTGGAAACCAAGGGTCTGAGAGCCGCCTTGGGAGTATCCCCAGATGAGGGTGTTGGACCCGTTCACACTCACTGGGATGGAGCCATCGCCCTGGGCCCGAGAGAACCTGCTCAACACGGGCCAAAACAGAAGGCGATAGTAGGGTATGCAGTTCTAGATTAGTGGATCTCAGACAGTGTACTGCAGGTGGTTTCAGGCGCCTGAAAACTGGAAGTTGGTAAGAGGCCATGTACTTGGCGATGAGCCAGCCTCAAACCATGAACTTGGCGATTGCTTACAGGCATGACAAGCCAAGGGGGGGGGGGGGGAGAGAGGGGGAGGGAGGAGGGGGGGAGAGAGGGGAGGGAGGAAGGGGGGGAGAGAGGGGAAGGTACTACAATGATCAAATTCATCGAACCCCATGACTTACTTCATAACCTTGGAGCCACTGGAAGTGGTAGTCAGCGCCGCACCACTCCCAATACTGAAGCTGCTTGTAGGCTGAACGTCGCTCATCCCATAGCCGCTCATGTAGTAAGCCGCCACAGCCCCGCCCGGCAGGTTGCCAATGATAGTGTCAGCCGGGGCCATGCGGCCGTCCGCAGTCCACGCCAGGGAGAACCACCCCGCTGCTGCCGTGCTGCCCGCTGCTGCCTCCAGGGCGAGGTTGACCTGAGTAGCACTAACGGTCTTCCAGTGTAGCGTGAGAGAGGAGTCAAGGGGGGCAGAGTAGGTGTAGCTGGGGAGGGTGGATGTGGCACAGGAGGAGGAGGAAGATGGAGGGGAGGTGGAGGGAGGGGAGGTGGAGGGAGGGGAGGAGGAGGGAGGGGAGGTGGAGGGGGGTGCAGGGGAGGAAGGTGGGGAGGTTGAGGGAGGAGCGGAGGAGGAGGAGCCATCGCAGGAGAAATCTACTGTGGCCACTCCACTGCGAGGAGAGGGTGAAGAGGCGTGGAAGGGGCAAGGAAGAGGCCCAGAAGGAGAGGGGGTGGAAGGAGGAAAGAGGATTCGGACGTAAGGTTCAAGCTGAGGGTTGTTACGGCTATGAGTGTGTGAAACGGTTAGGGAAGGGGCCACAGGATGGCAACCTGGACAATCACTTTCCAGTTGAGGGGACAGCAGAACTCATAATATCTTGGGGGTGGTAACGAAGCCAACAGACTTCACATTCACACTGGGAAGAGCGACAGGTGCAAGTCTGTTCACTCACTCATTCTCGCCGTGGAAGTCAAGTGACTTGGAGCCGCTTTCAGAGTAGGCCCAGATGAGAGTGTTGCTGCCGCCAACGTTCACTGGGATGGAACCATCGCTGGAAACGCGGGAGAACCTGACACGTGGGCCACATAGGCACATGAGAGGTGCACGATTAGACATGGCTTGGCCCCTTAGCAGCAAAAACTGCGGCAGGAAGCAGCAAAGGGTCACAAAAATAAGCGGATCTGCTGGAAAATAATGCATGGCACCAGATATGTAATGTATAATGCATAATGTATAATTTGCGTCAAATACATACTCAATAATAGTGGAGCCGGAAGCCGATGTAGTTTGGACAGCGTTGCCAATACTGAAGCTGCTTGTAGGCTGAACGTCGCTCATCCCATAGCCGCTCATGTAGTAAGCCGCCACAGCCCCGCCCGGCAGGTTGCCAAAAACAGTGTCAGCTGGGGCCATGCGGCCATCTGAGGACCACGCCACAGAGAACCACCCCGCTGCTGCCGAGCTCCCCGCTGCTGCTTCAAGGGCAAGGTTGACCTTGGTCGCACTGGCTGCCTTCCAGTGGAGAGTGAGACTGATGGGAGGGGGAAAGGGGAGGAGCAGCGCAGTGACAAGAGTATTGGAAAGAGGAAATGGAAGGGGAAGGGCAACGCAGTATTGGTGCATTGAGAGACATTTGAGGCATTTCATGAGCATTCAATGAGGGTGGTGACTCATTGGAATTCAAAGCATGTCGATTGCAGGGGGAAAAGGTATGTTCATGAAGATTGCAGGGGGGAAACTTCAAGGCCCGTGCTAGAAACTCACTCGGAGGACAGCTGCGTTGAAGAGGCATAGTCAGCGAGCGATGACGCGTCACAAGTGGCACTAGTGCCCACTGTGGTCGTCCCCAGCGTTGCACTGACTGCTGCGGGATGCGCTCCCAGCGATGAATTCCCTACACCTGCTGCGGCAACCCTTGCAGTTGCAGTGTTGGACGACGTTGCTGCCGCTTCGGTTACAGTAGCTGCATCGCTTCCAGTGCTGATGCTGCTACCACTGGCACCAGTAGTAGCAGTAGTGCTGCTAGAAGCAGTGGAAATGGAGGCGCTAGCAATCCTGCTGTTCACCCGTGCTCTCCAACCGCTGCCAATAGTTGGCTTCACAGCTTGCACACGATGCGTGAGAAGCTCACGCCTGGGCTTTCCACTGGCAGCAAACGCACTGCCTTGGAGAATGGCAGCCATCACCACGAAAGCAAAAATCGCCCTAGTGCCCATGTTGCGGAATACTATAAGTGATAGGTATGTAAGGCGTACTCCTGCGAGAGTGCCAAATTTAGATGGTTGGAGTGAAATGAGGGTTTTGCGGAATGGCTGGTGTTGGTGAAGGTGGGGTAGGGAATGGTGAATGCTCTGTGCTGGTGCTGTGTTTGCCTGAAGTGGATTTGTAATTTCTTCAGGCTCAAAATTCTATCCACCGCATTTGCGTCACCCATGTCGCGCATGCCTAGTTCGCACGACGCGAGATTGGAAAACCAATCTCGAGAATGGTCGTTGTCGGTGAAGATCGACGGCTATTATTTCTGCAAGTGCCGAACGTAAACTGCGGCGAAGGGATGGATTTCGTGACGTGGTTGCAAAGACGAGTCAGCGTCCAGGCAAGACTGGCCAGAGCAGTATTTTGACTGGCTGCTTCGGCATGGTTTGTTGACGAGTCCATTCTCCGAAAGTCAACGTGCTGCGAGAGGCTTCGCGAACGGAGCAACGAAACCGCTAGGTGTAACATCGAAATTATCGGTACAGTTAAAGCGTGAATTCCAAATGATCCCACTCGTTCAGCAACATAGAGAGCCAAATTATAACGAAACTGCCTTGACAATTTCAGTCGCTGCCAGAGCAGCTTACAACGGGGATTCCATTTTTGTCCCTCGCAATTTCATTCGCTGCCGCTCACTATAATATGTCTATGTCTTTAGCCATGCTCTCAGGTGACGCACAAATCCTGATTCTGGCGACCAAGGCACGTCTGAAATGCGGATAGCCTGTCTGTCGTCTCGTCCTCTCGGCAATGCGCAATTTAGGAGTCGCTTTTCGCGCGAGCACCTTCCGCGCAAGCACCATGCGCTCTCCTCAGTTGCCTTCCGCAGCCGGCGGTAGTCAGCGCAATTCGGCTTCGGTAGCGGGAATGGCGACGATTAACGCGACGGCTAGTGTCGCAGGGCGGTCGCATGGCAGAAGTGTGCTTCAGCCTGGACGGTTTCCGACTCAACAAGAGCTTCTTCGCTTCCCAGATAAGTGAGTCATGTAAATTCGATACAATTGAACGTGCATCAAATTCGGAAGGTTTACATTGGTCATACGAAAATTCAGGTGCTAGAATACTCCCCTCCTCGGCCTGCAATGCTGACTCCGCCGCCCTCAGAGGAGCTTATCCCCTCCCTCCCCCCTGCACCCGCCACTCTCTTCCACCCCCTTCCCCCCCTTTCCCCATTCCCCCCCAGACTCATTGACGCACCGCCTCGCCCCTGCCCTCCCCCCTCCTCCCTCCTCCCCTCCCCCTCTCTTCCCCCTCCCCCCCCCCCCCCCCTTCCCCCCCCCCCCCCCCCACCTCAGGCTCATCAGAGACATCGCTTTGGTAATCTTCTGCCCTCCCCTGTCCCCTTCCCCATCAACCCCCCACAGCCCCCTTCAGCCCCCCTCCGCCCCCCTGCCCCCCCCCCCTCTCCCCCCTCAGGCTCATCAGAGACATCGCTTTTGTTGCCTTCTGCCCGCCGCTGCTGCTCTCGTCCAACCAGGTACGCCTTGAAACAAAAACTCACCTGCTGTGGACTAAGGCCTCTCTACCCGATTCCCCTTCTGCCCACCCCCCCTCTCTCTCACACACCTCACCCCCCCCTCGATTCATCTTCCTCCCTTTTCTCTCTCCCCTTCTCTTTCTCCCTTGCTCTCCGCAGCTACCAACAGTGGACCCACACGCATTCGCCCAGACCTCTTCCCTCCTGATGCCTAACAGCCCGGATCACTCCAGTCCAAGCAATTATCCGCACCATGAGGCATGTGACAATAGCGAGAGGGAGGGCCAACAGGCGCTCTTGGCCTGGCTGGAGTCCCTGGATGGAGGACACGTGGCAGCATGGTTCAGGCAGAAGAAACAGAGCGCCCGATTGGGCGACCACTATGCTCTTTGCATTCTCTTCGCCCTCACGTTCGGCCCGAGCCTCAAGCCTCGGGGCCTCCGAACCTCTGTCCAAGTTCACGTTTCAGAGGTTCGGGGGAAGCCCACCCGGCTTATCTTCCCCGAACCAGATCAAACCCTCCCCGAAGCAGACACATCAGCTGACGGCGGCCTATCCGAACCTGACCCCCCCGAACCCAACATGCCAGACTCCTCCACCTTGTTGAAGCAGAGTCCAGACCAGCCGAACTTACCGAGCCTAGAGGGCTTCAGCGTGCCGAGCCTGGAGCTGGCTCCGGCTCGGCCAGAGCTAGACTTTCCGGAGCTGAGGCAGATGGGCAGACGGGCTCGGAAGCGATTCCTGCGCGAGTCGAGGGAGAGGAAGGGGCGGATTCAGACCATGGGGGAGTTTGATGTGCTCTTCACCCTGCCGCCTCCCTCCCTCCCTCCTCACTCACCCTCTCCTCCTCCTCCCTCTCTTCCTCACTTGCTCTCTCCTCCTCCCCTTTCTCCTCCTGATTCCAAGTCGCCTGGTTTATGTTGCAAGAGAGTTTTAGAGGGTGGTGCAACTGCTGCTGCTGATGATTGTGGTGGAGATACAGCTGCTGTTGCAGCTGTTGATTCTGCTCCTCCTGCTGCTGCTGCTGCTGCCGCTGCTAATCCCGCCATTGGACTTGAGGATGCAGCCGCAGCAGCCTCAGCTGTGCTCCACCACTGGGAGCTTTCCGTGAAGTTTCTCCTCTTCGTGGGCTCGTGGGACGATGCACTTGCCATCTTCTCCCGCCGGTTCCATCCCACTCAGAGCAGCAGCAGCAGCAGCAGCAGCAGCACCACCACCACCACCACCACCATCACCACCACCATCACCACCACCACCACCAGTAGCAGCAGCACCACTATCAGTGGTAGCAGCAGCAGCAGCAGCAGCAGCAGCAGCGGCAGTGAAGCAGCACCTGACTGGCTGCTGGGGCAGTACCTGGGCCCCCACGTGGGGGAGTCCCTCCGCGACCGGAAGGAGCGGCTTAGCCGACAACTGCTGCTGGGCAAACACGGTTATGGGGCTCAGCTTATAACGAGGATGTATGGAGTTGAGGGTACTGGGGGGGCGGCAATGGAAAATGAAGGGAGTAGGGAGAGTTGTGGGGTGGATGGGATTACAGAGAGCTGTGGAGGGAAAGAGATATTATCCTCGTTACAAGCAGCAGCGCTGTTACAAGGGTACTTGTTCTATGAGTACCCCCTGTGGCTGAAACTGAGAGAGATGGAGGAGGGCTGGAGAGAGAGAGGCGCCAAATTTGGGACCGTTGCTACCAGGGGCGATTCTGAGATAGGGGGTAGAGCAGTAGCAGCATCAG